ATCCATTCAAGTTTTCTCTTTTATGCCTTACTCAAATATCTATTGTGCTGATCTCCCCTTTCAGACCTGGGTTTTCTTTCAGGAGATTAACTGCACAGTAAAGCTGATTTTTGTTTTATACTTTTCATAATTCTCTGCAGGGACCTGCAGCAGCTGGATGACAGTACTCAGCTGCCATTACTTTCCCATTTTTCAGAGACTGTTGAAGGCTTAACGACCATCCGAGCTTTCAGGTATGGTTTTAAAAATGCATATATTGCCTTACTTCTGAATATCTGTATCTCTGATTCTGTTCTGCAAGTCTGCAGATATAAGTAACTGCCATTTGGACTACCTGAAAAATCTGGGTCCCCAAAGCACTGTTAAGGGGCACTCTGAGCCATCGAGGAACTCTAATCAAGAATTTTGTGGAAAAAAAATGCTGTGGAAAAGTAAGCAAATGTATGTCAGCTATCTTGCAGTAACTCCTACCCTTCTGCCTCTGTCAGTAAACGTGATTTAAGAACCTGAATTAGCTTGCAATTACTGCAGTGTGCAGTATGGGTGTGCAGGGGATATCTCCTGCCATAGAATCATAGAATGGTTAAGGTTGGAAGGGACCTCTAGAGATGCAGGAGATGCACTGGGACAGTTTCCATGGAACAACTAACAGCCTTGTTAAGATTATTAACACAGCCTGTTAAGCCAGAGTAATTTGTGTGTAAGTTGATGTCCCAGTAAGATAGCCTGCATACTAGTAACCTCAGAGGGTATGGCCATACCTGAAGTTATTTATAAGGTTGCGAGCTGAAAAGGTGCTTGTTGATCTAGGTTTTGAAAATATACAACTTGGAGACATTCTTTCATCACCTATTTTGACCCATTTTTTTACCTACATAAGTGCCCAGGAATACAAATAATGTGCCTGGGTTGTGTAACTGTGACTGCCATTTCTGTAGCACACGCAGAGGTACCAGTAGAGCCACTGCTGAGCTTAGCAGCTGCCTTCCCTGACTGGGGCTTTTCTTGTCTTTTGCTGTTTGACTCAAACGTGGTCAACTGTCTTCCACACCCATCTCTCATCTAGATCTCTATACATTTTGCAACTTAAATATTACTGTTGGCATTCCACCTTTGAAACAGAAGTACAATTCTTATACAATCTGTGATTGTAATTTTGTAACAGTAATAATGCACAAAGCTGTAGGACTACATAATTATTTAAAGTTTGTTCCATATGGAACAAACATAGTGGAGAGAGGAGGGGAAAAAAAAACATGAAAAGCATAGCCTGCATCTATCGATACCAGTACTTAAACTATTAGATTATAAACTACAACTATTTTCCTATTAAAATAGATATAAATAGCTCAATGAAAGAACAACCAGTTTAAGGTTTTCTATTTGACTGAATCAAAGCTTTTTGAAAAGTGGTAAAACAGCATAGTTTTTTCTATTATTAATTACTGATATTGGATTTGTTTTTATTTTTTTTAACACCAGTAGTGTTTTGTAATTTGTAGCTATGTCTAGATACACTTCAGGAAAATTCAGTTTCTCTCTTCATCACTGCTTTTCTCATTTACCTGTATAATCTTCTACTTCATCAAAAGGATTTGTAGGAGATTAGTACTGTAAATTTTCATGTGTTCCAAAAAAAATAAATAATACTTAATGCTAACTAGCTGTGTATTTCAGTCATATGAAGCACTCCCACTTGATTCCTCTTGTCACCTTGAAATGACTCCCCTGCCAAAGGATCGTATTTGCTGCCTCTTTTTTTAATACTGCGCTAACCCTGGAGTGCCTGACCCAAGCAGCAGTGTGCACAGTGAGGTCGGCATCCCATCTGCCTGCCAGCCTCCCACATCAGCTGCTAACAGGACTATTTTTAGGTCTGTGCAGCCTCTCAGCTGCCTAACATGCAGCAGGAGTGGAGTTTAGACTTGCTAGTGTGAGCATCCCCCAAAATAACACTAATTCAGGAATCCAGTCATGTAGCTAAGCAGTGTCCGTTGTTCTGGAGTGTCCTTACTCTCAGTCCTGCACTTGCTCAGAATGACTAGG